TAACTATTTAGACTGTGATGCAATCCGTATGCTTCATCAAATATTTTCAGAAATTCTAAATGCATTAAATATATCAATACAAAAGAGGAAATGCAATTTGCAATGGACAGTCTTTTCGAAAGAGAAATAACATTCCACTGTAGTTTAAAAAAGTGTTTGTGTTTCTTGAGGTCCTATTATTTGCAAACCTGACATCGAATCTCATGACCAATGACTTATCTCACCTGCTTATTTCTATTCACGTTCCTTTAAAACTGAGCCCATCCTCGATATATAATTTTGCAAAAAAAGCATCTCCATTCGCCTACTAATAGTAACCAACTGCAGCAATTGAACTGTTCTATCTTCCATTTCCGGCTCAATTTTTCGTTGATGTAAAAAAAAGTTGCTTTATTAAAAAGAAAAATATTATTGAGCGGGGGCGCCCCTGGCTAAGTCGACCGGAAGCGAAATCACCGGTGGCCTAAGTGTTTATTTTAAAAATTTAGTTTAGAAAGCCAATTTTTGATGATCAGTTAACTGTGCTATATAAATTCGTTTTGTTCCTGTAATTTTAATTTGCTATTTTCAATGGTTCGATTTTTCAACGGTTCTTTTCTAAGCCGATCGTAGGAGTATTTTGTTGGATTTTTCTCCAGTGTATTTCCTTTATGGTTTGGAGTAAGGCTCCCGGCTTTCTACTTGCATCCCTAGCTAGTCTACGAAAGTATTCTTGGGTTGCACGTGACGTCACCAAAAATCAAACTAAGAAACTATCGATTCTTCTGAGTTTCTACTTTCACGAGGTATTACAGCACCTAAACATCTTTACATAAACAAGTTTTTGGTTCGAAAGGGTTCTTCGTTTTGCGAGAGAGGACGGTTGAATTTCCAGGCTTTTGCCTGACGCGGCATTTAGCTGGCGGCCGGGAAAGCTCTTATGTGGGTTAAAAACATTACCGATTTTGGGAGATTTTGCAATCTAAACATTCCTTGTCTCAGAATAAATATTACTGTAATCTTTATGAGTTCCTCAAGCGAATAATTCACGCATTAGTAGGAAAACTCAAAAACAGATGTTTCTGTTGGTATCCGGCGGCCATATTGGTGTTCCTGAAAGGGACACAACAACATGGCATTTCCATACAGAGCGTTATAACTTTAGGTAAACCGTTTTTCCCAATATCTCGCATTCGAACTATTTCGCAGACCTAATTCTTGGCAAGTGTTTTTGTACATTTATCTTTTTTCATTTCCCAGATTCTAGTCCTTCTGTATTGAACGGTTTGCATTTTTATTTTTCATTGCGTGACAGTGCGAGCCGAGAATTCCAGTTTCGTGATCGTAGATGCTATTAATGAAGAAAAAGAAAAAAAAAAAAGGAGAAAAAAGTACAAAGAAAAAGGAACTATTTTAAAGGGGCAAGAAGAGAAGAAATAATCGAGTTACGTTGGCATATGTGCAGCACATGTTGTTGAAACACAATGAATTCCTTCCCGCTTGGCCTTCGCTTAGCTTTTTGCATTCAAATCCTTGCTTATTTTGATGAATTCTATCAGCAAATTCATGTTTGCTCGTCTTTAACTCGATATTTCGATGGAAACTTAAAAAAACAAAGCGTCTTTGTAAAGTAAACACTGAGCACGAGGTGACGATAAAGTATGGAATTTCATCATGCTAATTAGTAATGGTAGGGGTGACGAATGGTCTTTGCGAGCATTCGCGAACATGCGAGCACTGCGATTTTTTTGCGAGCACGAGCAGAGATAAATAATTTGCTTTGCGAGCACACGGCGACCAGTTTAGAGAGTACAATTCGCGAGCAGCGAGCACTTATATAGAAACAAGATCCTCGTGTCAGAACAGCCTCTTTTGGAAGAATCCTAAAGCTTCCAAACCGTTTTTATCGAAAACACGGTCTAATTAAAGCCCAGTGAGTAGAGCGGTAGAGAAACTCAGAAGAAGTCAAGGTAACAATATCTTCTCTTTGTAACCATATATAGCTAGATTAGCCAATTTATTATTTATCGTTGTCATTTATCGCGTGCATTTACACTGAACTTGATAGCCATATTTATAGGAATTAAGCACCATACAGAATTACATTTACTTTAACCCAAACATGAAGGATTTACAAAATTTCGAGCAATACGGATACTAACAAGAAAGCGAGCATGAGATGCGAACAACTGCAAAAATTTGGGGAGCACGAGCAAGTGAGCACTCGTTTAAATTTTGCGAGCAAATCGAGCAAAAGTAAAATTTTGCGAGCAGTTAAAAATTTTTCATGGACCATTCATCACCCCTAATGGTAACAGGACTGAGTGGAGTCCAATTCAGTCTGTAATCATACAAGTGATTAACAAAATCGGACAGACCGAATTGGACGACACGAAGTTCTGTTACCAATTAATCATAACTTTACCAAAATTTGTGATATAATAGGCAATTCTTTAAATCAAAACACAAGAAATTCTAAATTTTGTTTTGCTAACAGTGAAAAAAATAAGCCATTTAAGCG